AGGAAGAGGTCAGTAAGGTTGGCCAAGTACAGTCCGATGGCGATGAAGGCCTCTGTGATGGCTATAATGCTCAAACATTACTTTACTCCCTCCCTTCATTCCACCACCACGTCCACCGTGGCCGCCTCTGCCATTTCTTCTCCCTTTATCACCTCTACCGCCACCATAGTTTTTAAAGCCGTCGCCACCTCTGGGGCCTTCGGGGCTTCTTCCTCCTCCGAAGCCCCTCCTCCTTTCTCCATCACCTCTACCACGGCCGCCTCTGCCCCTTCCTCTCCCTCCATCACCTCGGTCGCCTCTGAAACCTCCACCACCACGACCTACAAATCAATCAACCACATACAAAGGAAAAAAAAAAAAAGGAAAAAGAATTATCTAAAATGATAATTTTACATTGCCTTTTTTTTAAAAATATTATTTCATTTATATTAGAGAGGGTATTAATGTCTTTTTATGCGAACAGGAGGGAAATTGCACCAAATTGATAGTATTGGGGGATTTTATACCATACCGGGACTGTTTTGCACTATATCGATAATAGAATGGGGTTTTTTTTGCACTTAACTTAATGGCAAAATAGAGTTTTTGAATTTATTTTATGTCAATTTTGGCCAAAAAGTAGTCAGATTGACTTATTTGCATTTTTTTTGAATTTTATGAACTAAAATGCACATTTTTAAAAAGTAAGAACTATTTATACACAAACCCTATAAATCATAATTTTTTTTGCACTTAACCCAAACAAAAAATAAAGTGATTCTTCCTTCACCTCTGCTTTCTTTTCTCCTGACTCTCTTAATCCAAGCGAGGTGTAGCAATGCTTGGTAAAACATTACCAATCTGTAACCTGGAAACCGAAATTGCATTACAACAATATATATATATATATATATATATATATTGTTGACAATAAAGGTGCAGCAAAGACAAGTTGAGACATAGATGTGCAGTGGCCATGTGGTATTCAAATTTTATATAGTATTTAATAATTTGAATAACAATTGCTGTAAAATAAATTAGAAAACATAAATACGTCCATTAAGGTGTTTTTTTTTTACAACAATTTATATTTTGTATTTTCACTTCCATATGAAACAGACATAATAACATTTTTTTTGTGATGTGATTTATTTTGTTAAAAAAGTATGTTTGGTAACTAATTTGTTGCACAATGTTTTATATATAAAAAAATGTTTAAATTATTGTTTTAAAAATAGTATTTACAATATATTGGTTTCTTTTTTTCTTTTTCTTTTTTTTAAAAAAAAAAAAATCCCATTACAGTTATTTAGTAACAAAAATAAATCAAGTGAATAATAATAATAATAATAAAAAAGATGAAGAAAATAATTAGAAAAAAATATATGAGAGAACTTTGAAAGGAAAAATAGAAGTTTGATTGAACAAAGGGAAAGTAAATACTTTGAAGAGAAAGAATGATGAAGAAAAAAAAAAAAAAAAAAAGTTATATGCCTAAATATTTTTTTTTAAAAATTAATGGGGCCCGCCGACGGTGAAGGGCTTTGGCTCGGTCCCTAACTTCTTCATAATCACTTCATAGTCTATCACTAAACACATGTATTCTTCCTCTCACGGGGGGTGGGGGGTTTGGGGGCCACGATTGGCCCCCTTTAACTCCTCTTTGAATCCGTGCTGGATTTCCGGAATTGTCAAAACATATTATTGAGGATGAATTATTAGCAACCAAACTAAATTAATCAGACGTCAAAATATTGCGTTAGCCTAAAGGCAAAAGGAAGAAAAGAAAACAAAAGCATAAGTAGGAAAATATTATATCTTACAGTAATTTGACACCCCCTCAGGTTGGCAATAAGGACAGGCAGATACAACTTAGGGAGAGTGTGATCCAATTACCCCCTCAAGTTCGCAAACTTGAACAACAATAACACTTCAACCATGATAAGAGTACCTAATTGCCCTTTAACCTCTGAATTGACCAATTTAAACTATTAAAGTACAATATTAACCTTTATAGGTCCTTTTATTTGACCAAAATGATCCTTAGCAAAAAAATAATAATAATAATAAATCAAAATCAAACTCCATCGCTGTAGCCACTAATGCCATATGCATACAAACAGGGGCGGACCCAGGAATTTTTAATTGGTGAGGCCAAATTAGTAATGTAAAATTAAAATTTTAAAATAACATAAAATCATTGTAAGAATTTTTTTTGTGCAAGTTTAATGTATATTGTTAAAATGTGTCTATGTATGCAATAAAATTGAAGAGAAAAGTTGTCGATTGAATCATTATTGTTGTCAAGTGAATAAATTTTATTCTTTCTTTCTAATTCATAACAAATAATATTTATGTATGTGTGTGAATATATGTGTGCGTTATAATATGTTGTTATATGAATTACCATAATAATTAATAATTTTTTTTAAACTAAATTTGATCTTTTATAGCAAGAGGTTTATTGGAATTTGAAGGGATTAAAAGTTAATTCATCATTAAACTATATTTAATATCAGGGAACCATATAAATTTTTTTAAAAAAAAAATTAAAGAGATCAACTTTAATTTTTATATAAAAAAACAACAATTAGTATCTATGATTTAGTACGTGTCACAAAAAAAAAATTTGAGGGGTCCAACTTTAATTTTTATGTAAAACATTACCATAAATAATTTTAATTTAATACTATAATAAGGTTTTGCAAAAAAATTGCGATGGCCATGGTGGAGTTTTTTTTTTTTTTTTTTTTTTTGCCAAGGGTCATTTTGGTCAAATCAAAGGACTTGTAAAAGGTTAATATTGTACTTTCATGATTTAAATGGATCAATTCAGAAATCAAAGAATAATTACGTACTCTTATCGTAGTTGGAAATGTTGTTGTTCAAGTTTGCACATTTGAGGGGGCAATTGGATCACACTCTCTCTAAATTGTATCTATCTGTCTTTATTGCAAACTTGGGGGGTGTGAGTGCAATTTACCCTATATTTTATAATGTCTGGTTTATAAATTAGGAGGGAAATAAAAAAATAAAAAAAATAAAAATGAGGAAGAATGAGAGACTTATTAACAGCATTTGTTTAAGCTGTCCTCCATTTTAGCTGCAATGACTCTTGTTAGATAATGATTTTTAATTCATTTATTATTTATCTAAACACTCTACACTCGGTGAATAAACTATTTCTTTCATTTCTCTTTTCTTCAATCTCTTTCCGGAACAAACAAGACGAAAAAGTTGCCATTATGATTATTATTATTATTATTATTTTAAGGTTTTGTTCCTTTATTTATATAAAAGTAGAGTTAATGCTTTTCTTTTCTTTCATTTCTTTTTTCTGTCCCAATGATGCTTTTTTCCATTCCACCCCCTCCTATTTTTCGAAGGCACTGTTACTGACACATTTCTCTTATCTCTCTTCCATCTAAAATCTTAAAATGTGTTAGGCAAAGTGAAATGGAGAGAGGAAAAAAAAAAAAAAAAGTGCAAAATGGAAAGAAGGAATATACTTTCCTTCGTTTGACCACATCCTTCTCTCTCTCTCTCTTTTTGTTTGAGGGTCTACCCGTAGTTTATTTGAACATTGAAAGCTTTCATAATTGAAAAAAAAAAAAAATTGTAAAAAGTTGTTGAAGGGAATTAGACTCAACTCAACCCAAAGCGACATTCAAACCAAGCTTGCCCTAAACCACTCTTAAACCCATATTAGAAAAGTTGAATTGATCTCGAGTTAGTCTTATACTCGATTGAATACATAAAAAGATCCAAAAATCTGAAAGTAATTACATAAAAATTGTAAAAAAAATTTCAAGGAATTGACATACCATAAATCAAGATATAAAAGGTTAATCATGATTATATAAGTATATAATAATTTTATACAATATAAATTTATAAAAGTTAAAATTAGTAAACCTGAACCCAACCCTAGTTAAGTTTTACTTCAAATTTTTCAACTCAAATCAAAACCTAATTACATAAATAATTGCCCAAATCCAAACTTCGAATTGAGCTCAAATTAGCTTGCCCAAGTTGCACCTAGGATGCAATTTGAGCAGGCCAATTCGGTCCAACCCGAACCCAACTCAAAAATGTTCGGACTGGGGCTTACTAATTCAAAATTCGGGTCGAAATCGGGTTAGGCATTTCCCAAACTCAAGAAAATTTGGGTTGAGCCCGAACCCAAAACCCAAAATTAATTTATTCTCCAAATCTTAAGCATTCAGACTTCGTAAGTTGGTAAAATATGCAGGAAGTTATTAGTACTTGCTTATTTATTTATTTATTGTTCTCCATTATTTTAGGTCGAAAAATTGCCCGCATTGGAGAAGTACCTGTTGAAGTTGCTTTTAAACTGAGATGTCAGAGATTGTCAAATTATTCATTTATAAGATTTTAATTGTAATACACCGAACAAAATTAAGTACTTCTTTTGTTCCAAATTAAATGTTCTATTTTGATAACCGTAACTCCCAATATTTGTAAAACAGAACATTTAATTTGGAACGAAAGTAATAATATATGGATGTTCCACCTTTACAACTATAAAGAAATTCAAACAGAAAAAATGGCAAGTGTAAATGAATTGAAAATTTAATTTCTCTTGAAAATTGATGTCTTCAAATATGGAAACAGAAAAATGTGAGTTGCATATTGGGTTTAGGGGGAGGTTTTTTACCCGAACAACCTGTCCAACCCAGAAATACTCGGGTTGGGTTTCAAAGGTCGAGCCCAAACAAAGGACCAAACTTCCTTTATTCATTTGTAAATATTAAGTGGCGTTTTTCAATTTGGTGTCAAATTTGCATTTGAAAAAAAATAAAAATAAAAAATAAAGAGGGAGAGAGAGAGAGAGAGAGAGAGAGAGAGAGAAGATTTTGTCATATCCTTTGATTTTTTTATTTTGTGCATTCTTGTCTAAACAACTCAAACCTAATTTCCCTCCAATTCTAGTGCCATTCCATACTTCCAAATGCAAAATGAATGCATTTTATTAGCACCACCTTTAATCAATCATCTCATTTGCTAATAGTCTCTTCAAATTTAATTCAAATGTATGTCTAAACTGAATACATAGAACATACTTTATACACATCATCTTCAAATTGACGAAAATATACAATTTGAGTTCAACATAAACATTTGATGAACAAGTATGAAATAGAACTAAGAATTTCATTACCATATTCATCTCACTATATACATATATTTCAATACCACAACCCATATCTCCGTTTCCCGCGTTCCCCGCTATATATTCCAAATTTATACAACATTTTTCCCAATCCAAGTCTGGTCATCGGATGAAAGATATCTTATGAGAAACAACTGAAAGCCAACCTAAATACAATTTTTTTTTCCTTCTTTTTTGTCTCTCTGTTGTCTCTCTTTTTTTTTTTCTTTCTTTTTTCTTTTTTCTTTCTTTCTCGGAAGTGGATTCCATGAAAGCACATGGAACCGAAACGAAATGAGAGAGCCGATAGTCCCTTCTTCGTTCGATCATATTCCTTAATAGAGATTACAGAGTTTTAAGGGTTTAAATTATACAAACAGCAGCTCTATGGGACTCATTGTGATGTCTAACTAAAATAACTCAAAAACAATTGGTGGAGCATTGTCTGCCTAATTCTCTAGAGGGAGGGAGAAAAAGATCCCATAAAAGAAAGCAAGGAAAAACAAAAGAATGAATACCTGAGCTCCAATACATATATATATATATAGGTTCTGCCTGAACCGAAGAGTCAAATGTATAACCCTTCCAAGGTGGACAGTGCTCTACTTCATTTCTTGCATGTCCTCTTCTGTTTTCCAAACCACATCCTCTAGGCAGGTTGAAAGATTCTTATAGAACTGTCAAATGAGAACGACGACAAAAATAAATAAATAAAATAAAAATATTAATTTAAAAACAAAAAATATAATATATTTTTTGTGTGTCTTAACAACCAAATTTACAATAGGAGGGAGTGAAGTAAATAAACTACTAAAAGTTCCATTTCTTTGACCAACAAGTTGAATTGCCTAATTCTTTATTTCTTCACCTGGCAGGAAAATAGTAGGGGGAGTGCATTTAAAAATGAACCCTACTACGCCATTTCAGCGTCCGAACCTTTGCTGTATTACCCCATTCTTGGGAAATTCAGCAAAGCACACTATGCAACACAAACTCACAGCTCAATGTTTGCATCTGACCTCTACATCAGACTACCCAATATTTTCAGGTTATCGTATATTTGGACAAAGATACCATTTATGATACCTCAGTTTTAGCACCTCTCAGTGATGTAACAAAATCTGGGAAGCGGGTAACTCCAATATTTAAATATGGAGCCAATAGGACGAGGCACCAGAAATTGGCACTAATATTAATCAGGTTTGACAGTTTTTTATTTTATTTTATTTTATTTTATATTTTTTTTAGTGGGGGTGAAACAGGCGATGATGTAGATCTTACCTTTTCATTTCAATTATTTAAAAATCATATTATATCTTCATCACATACACTACTAGTTTATATTATGCTGTTTAGTTGTTCTTTTTTATTTTATTTTTACTTCTTAAATCTCCTCTCTTTTACCGTCACAGCAGAAGCTCCAATTTAACTAGCCTCCTCATCCTGGTAAACACTTGATTCAAACAAGAAAACAAGATTTCAATGGTTCAGTCAGCAATGGGCTTTGGAGTTATCTTGGAGGTATGGGTTTATTAAATTCCTAGTGAAGAAATTTGATCGGTGAAGAACATAATTAGAAGCCCATCTAAAACTCATTTAAAGTAAATCCTTTTCTCAAACTTTTTCAGGTCAACTACATGAAGAACAAAAAATCCACCCTAGTATTCACTCGTATAAGCCACATCTAGAAGAAGAACAAGTCCACAATCAAACAACATAAGGCCCACAATGTAAATAGATTATCTATCCCCTCAGCCTCTAGCTCAAGTCATTATGAACAGGAAAAGGAGAATTAAAACCAGCAATAGGGTACCCACATTAAGTAGTGTGATATTACAAAGGCATGAGTTGCAGGGCCGTTAAATTGGGTCGAATCATTCATATTCTTGAAAGTGGGAAAAGTGAATAGAGCCAATATATGCGTGTGTGTGTGTGTGTGTGTGTGTGTGTGTGTATTAGCAGAAACAGGATTACCTTATGGAATTCTAAAGTGTCTCCTTTTGCTTTTCGCACCTCAACCATATGAAGAGAAGGTGCCACTTGAAATATCTGATTGAAGCATAAGAGATTGTAATTTTAGCAATGGAACTTACAATGGAACCACCAAATGAGTTGATTAAGCTTTCATCCTTACATACCTCAGTGGAAACATTGAGGTTTCCTTTTCTCCCAGCTTTAATATTTTCAAGCCTCATCTGGGGTGAAAAATAAAAAAATATGTAATTTATTTTCTTTCCTCTTTTTCCATGTGAGCGAGCGTGTGTGGATGGGTGGGGGAATATTATTTAAAAGTTAACTCACACCCTAGTACTCTAAATGACAATTCACCATAAGTATATGATTGTTGACTTGCTTCACCTTGTAGTTTTTCTTATGAACATCAAAACCAAGAGGCTTCGCGGCTTCTTCAATCTTGCTGATTATCTCATTTGCTCCACATTTAGATGTGAACCTTGTTTCCCTCTTAAATCCCTGTAATCAATGATGTTAAACAGAAGCAAACAAAATATAGTGCAAAAGGGATAAAATTATCCTGTATTTAAACAAATGAAATCTCAAATATTGCAAATAAAGCAATTAATACTGTCTTCCTCTTAAGCTCATTTGTTAGTTCAGTAAATTATATTCGTTATGAATCATAAATCTGATCTACAATTAAAAGCAGTTGCTTAATTGTGCCAAATTCACAAGAAAGAACCATATGCAAAAATCTCATCTCTACAAGAAAGGCTCAACTGTTGCACAAAATTAATTTACTGCCAAAATCAGACAAATTCAACAGAGAATTTTCTTATCAATGTTTCAACAGGTAATTAGGTCGGACCTGCACGGAAAAATAATGGATTCAATAAAGAAAGCCGCTGATAAAAAGGTAAAATCCAAGATGACGAATTAATAATATTTAATTGGCCTTTGGCAAGATATGGGATCCTTGGGTAAACTTAAAGAGGCATCTACAGTGTGTACTCTCTTTAGTTGCGGTCATTAGTCAAAGTTTGGAATGTTCGGGTAGTACTAATTACACGTGGGTGATATTTAACACTAGGGATAATTTGTGGTAGTTGTTCAGCCATAATGGGGACTTGTTGAAAGTTGTTTGGGCGATGATATAGATATTGGAGTTTGGTCAAACTATGTGCGTGACCATGATCTGTGCGTTCATCTATGATTATTTTCTGTGGACAATTTTAGTTCGAATAGTTGTCTTAGCCTGCTTACAGCTCAAACAGAGTTCCTACAGATCTCATCTCAATCGAGTCAGGCTCTAAGAAGCTGACACTCATTTTAGCTCGACTTGTTTGCACCCCTAACTATCATTTTGCTGGCTTCGTCAACTATAGAGATGTTACATTCTCGGAGAAAACACCTTTGTTTATCGAAGGGAAGACTACAATGATGCACACGGGATTCATCCAGCATTCTTCACCATTGATTTCATCTTTGAAATCCATTCACACAAATTGTCAAGGCCAATTCTGCACGTACTACTCTTACACCTATGACCTGTTGCAACTAGAGATGCCTCTCCCAAAGGGGTTACTAACTTATTGGTGGTGCATATAACTTACAAGTGTAATCTGCTTCCTCATGTTTCAAGAACCTTCTGCATCACCAGCTAGCAACACATCATTTTTAGAACTTTCTCAAATTCATATTACTCCACTACCGCCCATTCCACCTAATATTATATTTCTCGTCGTGGTAGGTGATATTTGCTATAATAAAGGTGTGAATTCTAATAAGTCCTCCCAACTCGGGACCCATAACAAGTGCTAAGGCGCTTTTTGACCATCACATCAAGGTTTATAATGGGAGCTCCTTAAGGGACTTCGTTCTCACCTCAGGGCTTATATGTAGAGAGGAGATCCTCAAATGTCTTCTATTGTCTCCTCAATGCTTATCCACAGAGACGTTATCAAGAGTCTTTGATTGTCTCATCAATGTTTATCCATAGAGAGGAACTCATTGAGTGCCTTTGATTGTCTTCCCAATGCTTATTCATAGAGGAGTTTCTTGACGTTGAGCAATAGTCACACAACCACAAGCCATTGTCATATGGCTATAAAGAAGGTACCAAGGCATAACTTTACAATAAGAGACCTGTTAGATGACATTATTTTAGTAATTGTTTAGTTGTCAAGGGTATTATTCTATTTTGTTCATCTTAATATATAAGAAAGACATACTGTAGAAATCCCTACATACCTATCGGATTCTTTCACGACTTTCTTCCATCTCTCTTCTTCTCATCTAACCCTAAAACTAGTTACATAAACTTCAACTAGACCTTTGTGGGAAGACTAAATCGTTGGAGAAGTAGTTCTTAGTCCTTACATCAAAGCTTATTTGTAGAAAAGGAGGTCCTTACTCAAATTTATGCCGACGGCAAAACTTATACATTAAAGAGGAGATTCTCACGGTATTGATGTCTGATCAGCAAGCTAGGGCCCCATGGAGATCACGGGGCCCATGATCCTCATATCCAAGCTGAAAAAACTGATAGGGTAGCACCTGTGTTCGTTAACAAGGTCAGTTATTTAATATAGATATAATTTCAAGAATTGATTTTGGGAGGACCAGTGGCCCAGTAGTCCCTCTCGCCCACAATAACTTCACCTTGAATGAGACTCAAGGTAATGAATTCGGTTTGAGGCTCAGCTGAGGTATCACACAAGATTATTTTCTAGTAAACTATTCACATACAAATATGTACTCTATCATAACATGTAACATGTATCAATGTTCCTCTGTCTCTGCACTTGTGATAATAGAGCAGAGATTAGTAGATACAAGCCCATCCAACAGACACGGCATACATATCAATGTAGACAAGCACTTTAAAGAGAAGATCCTGGCCAGTCTTGTTTGCACGCTCTTTGCAAGGACAAAATATCAACTGGCTAACATCCTAACTAAAAAGAGTTGCTGGACATGTCCTTTATAATGTGTTAAGCAAGTTTGGCATGTGTAAAATACATGCACCAACTTGAAAGGAAGTGTCAAAATTTCTTGTGTTTTCTAGTGTATATGGGCCTTGTGATGAGAGCCAAAGCTGAGGGCAATAAATTCATTTGCAACTCTATACATAAAATAGGGTTGAAAGAGAGATGTAACATATTTTCTCCTCTGCTTTCTTCCTCCTCCTTTATTTCCTTCTCCCTTTTCCCCTCGGATCTTAGTTTTCATTCCGAATCAAGTAAAAAACTAACAGAAGGCTTAATTGTCTCCTAATGTAACATGCATACCCTAATATGACATGATTTCAATGACGGGGAGAGGGTAAAAATATATTCAAAACTTGTTTTCTTGCTTAAAAATGCAACAAGTAACATTCTAATTTCTGAAACCTGGGAAAAGAACATCAATGTAGCACTTATTTTCTCTTCATTAGGGAAAAATAGATGGCATAGTGCTTAATCGAATATAAAAGTTTCAAGACAAGGCACAAACAAGTTTGTAAAATGAAAACCTGTTCTATATCAAACAAATTCCCAAGGTTGAGCCCTTTTGACATAGAAATCAAATCAAATGCATTCATGGGCGTGGGCTGTTCTTCCCTTTTCTCCATCACATGATATTCCTGTTGCAACACCAAAAGCAAACAATTTATGAGGTAACTTTCATGAAGTTAGCATTATGTCAGCACTTACTTTAGAACTTGTACTCAAATGTTCCTTTAGTTAGGTAAACTCACTTCTGAATCCTTAAAAACAGCTTCTACATCATCCAAATTTGCATCTCCTTTCTCCTCGAATACAGGTGGCTTGTAATCTTTCGTAAACCATTCATTTACCAAAATTTCAGGGATAGTGATGCGCTGCAACAGGATACATTAAGTTGAAAGGTAGAACCAAAACAGAATCAATGTGAACAAATCTATGTAGAAGCAAAATAAGAAATTGTATTTATATTTAACTACGTAATATCCAGAGGAAAATAATACGTGAATGCCCAACGTACATTCAAGTAGCCAAAGCATTTACACATTTCCCATGCAATAAAAGCAAAGACTCTCGTGCCGATGCTTCTACAACCTCAATAGAAGGTTTAAGTTATTAGCATCGCTGGTTATAAACAAGAGAGAGAGAGAGAGAGAGAGAAAGGGGAGAGGAATATAGAAAAAATATGAAAATGTTTCAGATTCTTTAATTGTAGTAGTAACCCAAATATGGACATCATGCATAACTAAAGATATTATAGATAAAAGAACTAAAAAAACACAATTTAATATTTAAATTCATGAGAGGCTAGTCAGAGGTTAGAACACATGGTTTAGTGAGACAATATTTCAAGGGCTTCATATTAGTTAATGGGTACAACAAGAAATCTAGAAGTCATGACCATTGACTATATGAATTGCTTTATATAGTTGGTGTAAAATGCATAAAATTACAGCGTCAAAAGCTAATTGGTCAAGAATGTCTGAATTGTTTGATCATGTTAATACTGGACTTTGAAAACTCCTGGTGAAGAACAAGTACATGTCGGGGTCTAGCACATTAAAGTGTTCAAAGATCCATTTAAAAACATTTCTAAGCAACCTACAGACACCAAACCTTGTCAGTTAAGCTTAGACCTAAGCCAACTACAAGCATATGTTATTGGACCTTGTTAGGTCAATACGACTTAGGTTGACATATTTCATGAATCAAAACTAGAGTCTGTAATTTTGTTTTAATTTCCAGAAAAAAAACTAGAATTTTCAAAAAGTGTCAATTTAGTTATCTCTTGGTCATGGTTATAGATAGAATTCAAGTTTCAACCAAAGGCAAAAGTGTAGTCTTTGACACTAAGGGTACAAAGGTCAATTGAAATTACTATATGAACTCACCAAATTTGGGTTTATGCATTCATCTATTAGGGTTTTAAGAATTCATTATTTTATTTGGAAAATCCTAACTGATATGAATCAAAAGTGTTTTTGGGAGCAACTTCCTTAAAATTTTCTAAATGTTGGATTCCTTTTTTTTCTAAATTTTGGATTCTTGAGCACTTCAATCGATCAAAGTATCAATCAAAGGCTACTGGAGTCATGTAAATCGATTGACATGTTTCTCTATCGATGGAGACACTTGGGCAATCAGTTTTTTTTTTTCCGATTAAAACCCAAAAACCATATTCTCTCTACAATTACAATTTGTATATAAATATTCTATCATACTACCTTTGTCTCATCTTAAATGACCACTTCGGGAACTATGACACACAAATTTGTGCGTCACAGTTCCCAAAGTGGACTTTTAATATGGGACCAAGGGAATAATACAAACCCTATGATATTTAAAATATACTCGAGATATACACAAAGTTAAAGAGATCTGCAGCATATTTTGAGTGCATTCATATATTTTTATTTTAGCATTCATCAATTGCATTAGATTGGTTAGTGTTTTATTAGTGTGCTAACATCATAACTGTGGTGGAGCTAATTTGAAGAGTTCAACACCAACAAACAATTGATCAACCGAGATTGGAGTGGAAGACTAGTCTAGAGATTAGAGTTGTTATTGAGGAAGCAGATTTGTAAGGGTGAAGTGACAATACGAAGAGAACAAAGAGATTTCTGGAGAAAACTTCTCTCCCTTTCCCTTCGGGAGACTTTCTTTATATAATAATATTTACTATACAAGGAATGCTTACCACAATCATATCCCAAGATTTGGTATCCACAAATAATATTCCTAACTACAAGCAATCTGTAAATCATCTAAATTGGAATGAAATCCCTAATTATAAGTTATCTTACAACTCATCAAATCATCTAATTTTGGTATGTAGATCACCTCCTCTGATACCCCCCCTCAAATTGATGTTGGTGAATCCACAAGCATCAATTTGTCAACTAAGAACTGGTGACGAGTAAGTCTTTAGTGAAAATATCTGCAGTTTGGAAATTTGTTAACACATGAGGCAAAGTAATGAGATGATTAACATAGGCTTCCCGAATGTAGTGACAATCGACCTCTATGTGTTTAGTCCGTTCATGAAATACTGGATTTTCTGTAATCCTGATGGCACTTGTGTTATCAGCATGTAGAGAAATAAGATTTAATTGAGGGAAACCTAATTCAGATAGAAGACGACGAAGCCAAACGATTTCAGAACAGGCAGAAGACATGACTCGATATTCCGCCTCAGTAGAAGATTTTGAAACTCGTTCTTGTTTCTTGCATTTCCATGACACAAGGGAGCCATTGAGATACATGCACCACCCCGTTGTAGATCGACGAGAATCAAGACAACCTGCCCAGTCAGCATCACTATAAGCTGTAAGTTGGAGAGATGAACCAACTTTATAAAATAACCCACGCTCTGGAGTGCCGAGTAAATAGCGAATGATCCGTTTGACAGCTGCAAGATGAAGATGTCGAGGTTGGTGCATAAACTGACTCATCAAATTAACTGCATAAGAAATATCTGGTCTTATGATTGTCAAATAAACCAAGCTCCCAACTAGTTGCCTATATGTCGTAGGATCAGAGAGTAGTTGGCCTTCATCTTTTTTATACTTGACATTAATTTCAAGTGGAGTAGCTACTGGAGTTGGGTTCTCGAGTCCAGCCAAAGCAATAAGATCTTTGGCATATTTGTGCTGATTAATAAAAATTCCATTACCTGACTGATGCACTTCAAGGCCTAGGAAATACGTGAGGTTTCCAAGATCCTTCATGTGGAAAGAAGAGTGTAAAGAAGCCTGTCGTTGTTGAATGCCTATTGTATCTATACCAGTGATGATGATGTCGTCCACATATACAAGGAGAATGGTGATACCAGTTTCACGACGACGAAGAAACATAGAAGGATCAGTGGTACTCTGATTAAAGCCAAATTGACGAATAATGTTACCAAACTTTTCAAACCAGGCTCGTGGCGCTTGTTTCAGGCCATAAAGAGAGCGTCGTAGATGACACACATCTGATCCAGAATTGCTTGTGACACCAGGGGGAAGTCTCATATAGATTTCTTCGTTTAGATCACCATGTAAGAAGGCGTTTTTTACATCCATTTGAAAAAGAGGCCAAGATTGAGAAGCTGCAATAGCAAGCACTGTACGAACAGTTGTCATTTTTGCCACAGGAGCAAAAGTCTCTTCTTAATTAATCCCATACTCTTGCCAATTCCCGAGAGCGACCAAACGAGCTTTATATCGATCGAAGGAGCCATCAGATCTAAGTTTAACAGAGAAAATCCATTTGCAACCAATTGGTTTGTGACCAAGAGGACAAGGAACAATATCCCAAGTATGATTCCTCTCTAAAGCTTCCAATTCTTCCTTCATAGCTTGTTTCCAACATAAATGTTGTATGGCCTGTGAATATGAGTTGGGAATAGATTTTGATGACAGAGTAGTCATAAGAATTAGGCGATCAGGAGGTTTGATTTGGCGAGTGGATCTTCGAAGAGGAGGCGGTTGTGGACTTGGATCAGGAGATGGAGAGGAGTCACGGTTAGGACCTTCTTCTGCACCAATTGTTGTTTTACCTCGTCGCTTATAAACCAGCCCAGGTTTAAACCTTGTGAAAACAGAAGGATTATTACTACTAAAGTCATGAAGATAAGAAAAGGAGGACGGAGGAGAAGGGACATGAGTATTTTGAAAGAAATACTGTTTCTCAACAAAGACAACATTACGAGAGGCACAAATGCGATGGACAGAAGGATCATAAACACAAAAAACCTTTTTGATGAGATGCATACCCAAGAAATGCACAACGAGCAGATTGTGCAGATAATTTGTTTCGATCTTGTGCAGGTAGATGGACATAACAAACACAACCAAAAACACGCAATTGGTTATAATTGGGATTAGCTTGATGCAAGCGAAAATATGGAGATTGATGTTGAACTTTGGAGAAGGCAATCTATTGATAAGATGCGCAGCTGTGGAAAGTGCTTCCACCCAAAAATGAGAGGGTACTGATGCATCAAGAAGTAGGGTCCGAGTAACATCAAAAAGATGCCTATTTTTCCTCTCGGCTACTCCATTTTGTTGAGGAGTAGATGGACAAGTTCGCTGGGAAATGATTCCTTCATGTCGAAGATAATTTTGAAATTCATTTTTCATATATTCAACTCCAGAATCGGAACGAAGAATTTTGATGGATGTGGAAAATTGATTTTTTAGGTAAGCCAAAAAACGCTTAAAGGCATCAAAAACTCCAGATTTAGAATGCAAAAAATAAATCCATGTGTGTCGACTATAATCGTCGATGAAGGAAACAAAATATTTGTGACGAGAATGAGAGGGAAATGGAGCATCCCCCCAAACATCAGTATGAATCAAATCGAAGCATTTTGTAGTAATGTCACCATGAATTGGAAAAGGAAGAGTCTTACTTTTACCCAATTTACAACTACTACAATCAAATGAGACATCACTGAAAGAAACAAGGTCTTTATTAGAAAACAAACCAGAATTGAACAAGAACAACAATCTTTTGGCATTAGGATGCCCCAATCGTTTATGCCACATCTAATATGACGTACTAGAAGAAGGACAAAATAACGAAAATAAAGATTTATTCCTGGGATAACTAAACAAGCTTAGAGGAAACAGCCTTCCACATTTATGTCCCTTCCCGATCACTTTCCCCGACTCCTGATCCTGCACAATACATCCAGATGTAGAAAATGAAACTTTACAGTTATTATCAACCAATTGACCCACAGATATAAGATTAGAGGTCAAACGTGGTGTATGATAAACATTATGTAATGGCAAAGAATGAGGGATATCACCAACTGACTTAATGGGAAGATGTTCCCCATTAGCAGTATGAATTTTCACATTTCCCACATATGGTTTCACATTAGTGAGATGTGTTGAGGAAGAGGTCATGTGATTGGAAGCACCAGAATCAACATACCAAATAGATGAGGAGGAAGGTTTACTTGTGAGACCAAGAGCAGAAAATGCAGAATGAATCATTTGTTGCACTACCTCTGGAGTTATGGAACTAGAAGCAGTAAAAGCTTGAGAATGCTGCATGGTCGTAGCAGCAGAGGGAGAACCCACTGCGGTGGTAGCATTGAAAGCCTGGGATGATCGATTTTGAGGTCGCTTACGGCAATCAACAATCAAATGTCCAGACTTCTTACAGTAGTTGCAGAATTTTTTCTTACACTGATTGGCTATATGCCCATATTCCTTACAGCTATAACATTGTATTTTGGACAAATCCCTTCCTTTAGCCTGAGCTGCATAAAAGCTACATCCAGTGGATTAGTGCCAACACCCATTTGTTCAATTGTAGCTTGAGTCAAACACCGTTGTTCTTCTCGGAGAAGTTCACCAAAGCACATATCCAATGATGGAGAAGGATCTCTAGCCATCAGATTTGAGCGAATAGATTCAAAATCACGTCTCAATTTCATAAGAAACTGATCTCTTTTGAGTAATTTCATGCACTTTTTGAAGAGATGGTAGCCCCTCACTTGGGACAGTAGCATAAATTAGTTGCTTCTATTCAGCCCAAAGATTCATGAATCCAGAATAATAGTCTTGAATTGACATATTCCCTTGGGAATATTCAGATATGTCCAATTCAAGCTGAAAACGCCTCCCAGAATTTTCTTGATTATAAACCTTTTTTAGATAACCCCACATATCTTTAGCATTGGAATAAGGCCGCAAATTGAGTACAATATTAGAATCTACTGAGCTTAAAATCCAACTAATTATCTTTGCATCATTAGACTCCCATTTAGCGATGCTATCATTTTCAGTCCCAGCTTTTGGTTCTGGGATTGATCCATCTACATGTCCCCACAATTCTTTCCCTTTAACAAACATACGGAATTGAAACTCCCAAGAAAAATAATTCTTCCCATTTAATTTAATGGGCAAGATTTCTGACTTTTCTGACATTCTAAAAAAAAAAAACTTCAAACGAGACTCAAACGAAAGAGAAAAGATGAATGAGAACCTGAGATGATGCTAACAGCAATTCTTGACTGCAACTCTAACCAAGATTGTTGCTGCAACTCCTTAGAAACAAGACACCATAGTTTTTAACAAAAAACTGTGATGTATCTTATAAAAAAAAACTCAGAACGTCTCTTGTATCAAGCTAGGCTCTGATACCATGACAATACGAAGAGAACAAAGAGATTTCTGGAGAAAACTTCTCTCCCTTTCCTTTCGGGAGACTTTCTTTATATAATAATATTTACTATACAAGGAATGCTTACCACAATCATATCCCAAGATTTGGTATCCACAAATAATATTCCTAGCTACAAGCAATCTGTAAATCATCTAAATTGGAATGAAATCCCTAATTATAAGTTATCTTACAACTCATCAAATCATCTAATTTTGGTATGTAGATCACCTCCTCTGATATGAAGTCTGTTGACAAAGCCGACTATGTGCCTCGAGACTTAAGTGGAGAGTTTGGTAGATTAGTCTATTTCAAAAGGGTAATTAGGGGATCTGGGGTATGTGAACTTTAATACAATATAATCTCTCTTTCTAATAGTGAATTTTTTATCAGCCTAGACTAGGTCTCGGTCCCATTTTTTTTTTTCTGTTTCAGTTTTTCACATAAAAATCTTGGTGTCCATTACTCATGCTTTATACTACTTTAATTTGCTTCTGTTTGAATGTGGTTATGATTAGCATGATAGATTGATTGCTATTTAGTATTTAATTTAAATTTAAATTTGAAACTTTAGTAACATTTCAAAAAGCTGTTAATATTAGTTAGAGCTACAGCAAGACCAATTGACCCCACTCAGGTCCAGATCACGGATCTTGCGCTAACCCTCTATCAGAGCCTAAGGCTCCAGTCCTTCCCCCATCACAGACCTCAAGGAGAACAGTGATCATCCTACCAAAATGGTGCAGAAGCAAAAATTTTAGCATCATTAAGAAATATTTTTATTGAAGATTTACCGTTTCTAGAGGAATTAGTGGAGGAGAATCATCCAGTATTGATGTTGTTTCCTATTATTGAAGAATAATATGTTTACTAAAGGAATCACTGGAGAAAAATACTCCAGTATTGATGTTATTTCCTATTTTCTATCTCTTTCCATTCTCGTCATTTCTTCTCCTATATAGAGGAGCCTCCACCATTGTATTGTGCATGAAAAGAGGGATTATAAAAGATATGTAGCCCTTTGGGCTGTGTACGCGGTGGATGTAAGCCCTAGTGGCCAACCCACCTATATTCTTGCTTTCTGTTCTCCATACTTTATTTTTTCTATTCAATTTTAACAATTTTAAACCACATTAGGTAAGACCTACGGCTCTATATTATGATGTAATTATTTTAAGATTCAAACAATTCCACGATGCACTAGATCCAGTATCAAATTACTAAGAAAATAAAACTTCAGAAAGCTTGGATTTCATGTTTACAGCAATAAAAAACTAGTAGTTGGGGTGATTGCACTGACTCACCAAAACTTAATCGTCAGACAGCTTCAGCGTAAAAAATAAAGGATTGAGTAATTCTTAAATTCGAATATTTGTTCAAACCAACGGGCCAATGGCCTAGTGGTATCAGCCTCTTACTTTCCAAAGGAAGATTAGGGCTTCAAGTCTCATAAGAGACAAGTGTGTGTGAGTACCAGCTAGGGGGCAAAAAAAAAAAAAAAAAATTATTTGTTCAACCTTAACTGTAGGATCCTAAGCATAATTCCAGGCTGAGGCTCTATTTGCCCAAAAAGCACAATCAGTTGAGAACCAATGTAGGGAAACCTCAGATACAAATTGTTCTAGTGTGACTAGTTTTTTTTTTTTTTTTTTTTTTTTCGCAAAGTGTGACAAGATTCATCATAATGCATCAGTATATATCTTATTTTCTTTTCTATATTGTATGACATCATATGAATACATTACCATCAGTGACAGTTGTAAGATATTGAATATAAAACTACATTGAATCTCAAATTCACTCTACCAAATTTCCCAAGTTAGCAAAACTAGGTTTCAGTATGAATTTCAGTCAGTTGCCACAAAATATATTGTGAAAATCAGACATACATAAGTGAAGGAATTTATATGTAAGAAATAGAGCCAAAAGCACTTCACCAACCAAAATGTGATGAATTATAAATTCTTACAGTCATAGGGTTGGGATCCAAGATTCGAGTTATCAATTTCATGGCAGCAAATGAGAGCCAAGGGGGACAAGTGAATTCGGCTCCTGAGATCTGCATGTAGACACTTTGAAACTAACACAGAGATGACGGAAGAAACTAGATACACTGTGCTACGAAATTAGTAAAATGCTCACTTTTTTATACAGGTTCACAAGATTCGAATCATCAAAAGGCAAGTAACCTGCAAGCAATACAAAGAGTATGACTCCACAAGACCACAAGTCTGCAGTTGCCCCATCATAGCCTCGATCATTAAGGACCTAAACAGAAGGAGAGCAAATTATAATAGGGCCAAGCACAAACGGGGAAATGGATACAAATGAAGCAAATAGGAATAATCCAAAAGCAATCCACACCTCTGGAGCAACATAGTTTGGAGTTCCACAGGCAGTGTGAAGAAGGCCATCATCCTGCACCAGATAAACCTCAAAATGAGAAACTACATCCTAATTCATGCAAAAGACATCCAAAGTAGACCAAGATTACAGCACATGTCTTGTGGGGGAAGAAAAAGAAAAAGTGCATTATAAGTTTATATATTTGAACTTTCAATCAATCACACCTAAATGAGAACACCAAATAAAAGACACTGATTCAGATGTAATAGAAACAAACACAAGAAAGAAAAATAATAATAATAGTAATAAACAAATAGAATAGAATAGAATAGCACCAGTACTTGAATTTATCAAATTATGACTTTGAAAGGAACAGGCCATGCTTTCTCATGAAGCCTTATGACCCTTCATGAAACCAATTCATTGGGAAGAGTCACTTCTTTTCCAATGGTTGATTTAACATATGCCCAAATCTGAACCACTTATTTTTTTTCTTTCTTGACCTTAGAGAATCATCAAAAGAGTCATTACTTTGCTTTTGATCAAAGTGAAGCAGTTATTCTGCCATAAAACCATCTTTAGCACAATTATCATATCTTCAATTTAACCACTTCCTAATAAAATTAATATAAACAATCAGAGTCCTTGCTTGGTGTGGCAACAGCTCTTACTAACAAGAGTGAAAACAAGAGTTCAAGTATGAAGGCAGTCGTTTTATGCAAATAATGCCAGTATTAAGTTAAGTCGATACCTAGTCTGCTCTTCCACCACCCTTCATTAACAGGACCACACAAGGTACTACCTTTTTTAGCGCTATTAGGACCAGGAATGTGAAGTTCCAAAGATAACACCACCACCATTTTTCCGACCAACTTGAATATATTGAATGTATGCAACTAATATCACCTATTCTATGTGGTGATAATTTATATCAAGGCATTCTTCCGACCAACTTGAATCACCTTCTAATGTGAGATCATGGAATTGTTACCAAAAAATTCAGTGATTGACCTGTTTATAATCTATAAGATCACAATGAAGCAACCAATGCACATAAATATGTGGTTGCCAAGAAGCAAGAAATATATTTGACCTATTTGGTGCACCTTCGAATTTACATTTCTTCATCTTTTTTATCTTTTTTGGGACAAGTACAATTATTTCACCAAGAAATAGCCACATTCCATCAAACACAAAATATTGCCATTTGTTGATTTAGACTTCTAGGTCTCATCAAAGCTGTACAATCCTTTAGTCACAACTCACAAGTGAAAAAGGCGCTTTGCAATTATCCTTCTTAAGCCTCTCATATACCTTCTCAAGATTTTAGACATTAATGCAAAAGCGTAAAATGCGGGGGGAAAAAAAAAACAAAAGACCTCAAACTATCATGGTTTTGCAACCAAAAAAAAAACTTTAAATATTAATTTGGTAAAAGAACCCCTGAACTATTCAAAAGATTTTCAATGTTCCCCCTGCCATTATATTTCCATTAAAAATGTAATTGAAGTTTTTCATGTGCATTTCACATGACTAATATTGTGACTTTTATGACCATTGTGCCCTAGTGCCCTCACTCAATTGTAATGCTCCAATAGGGTAAAATGCAATATATATATATATATATATATATATATATATATATATATATATATATATATATATTTTAAAGGAGGATTTCCCTTATGTTATTTGGCTGAGTAGAAAGGACTAAAGAAGCAATGTTATTTGGTTGAGTAACCTTTCAAATTTTTTTTAAAAAAAATTATGCGAGTAAAAGTAGATAAAGGAGCGAAGCCAGCCCACATGGAAGCATTTTGGTAGGTCGGAGGGGGTCCTCCCCCCCTCCAAATCCAAACACACACACAAAAAGAAAAATGTGTGTGTGTGTGTGTGTGTGTGTGTGTGTGTGAGAGAGAGAGAGAGAGAGAGTCAAAACAAAAGGGAAAAGAATAAAGATAACAAAGAGACATAAGTCCTCTAACACATGCTTGAGGAGATACAATCATGGTTAATCAATTCTAAAAAAACCATATATTCTAAATATATGAAAAAGCTGTCCAAGATCACCACTGCATGATGCTAATATGGAAAGGGTATTGAACACTATTTTCCATATGCATATTTAATAAATAAATCAATATTTAGGAGATATTCCTCAATTTTATGGATTCTCTTGGTTACAGTCGAAAACAGAGAAATTTTATAAGTTAACTGCTCTTTGAAATGTTTCTATTCAGACCATGTAATTCACTAACATATATATTGAATTTCTTTTTTTTCTACCATTTTTCCCAAAAATCTCTCCCAAGTATTCTTCAGCATTTCATATTCTTTCCAAATTTATTCATTGTTACATCAATTTTCATTCTTCACACTTCTCAATTACTTTGTGTTATATATTTATCTGAAATCTCTGCCTCACCCATTATTCAGATCATTCTGAATTTCATTCAAAACTTTTCCACATTCTCTTCTATTAGCCCACTTTTCTCAATATCATCCAATCTCAGTGGCAGAGATCTTCTAAGTTATAGGTAATGAATTCCATCTAGAGTGATGAAAAGGTTCCATGAGACACAGAACCATGAACACATTTCCTGTTCATTTGTAACTTGAAAAGCCAAAGAGGTGTTAATGAAAGCTTTACAAATATTTAGCCATGAAATGACTTCTCATGGCATAAAATAACAGCTTGCATTTACTAAGGTTTTTAATAATCTTCCACCAGGCTTGATGCTCTGCCATCAAGCATCATAGTTTGAGGAACATAGTGATACTTAAATTGGTATAAATACATCATTCAGTCTTTTTGTTATGAATGACTAATGTATATCTGTAAATGCAAAGATATATCCATTAAGTATAGCCATAAAATAAAGATTTTTTTTTTTTTTTCAAAAAGTTTTGGGTAAGTGTGCAATCCCCACACATTGCACAGGTCAATAACTAGACTTTCATTGTCAATTAATTATGCATTTGTCAAGAAGATATGTGCACACCGTAGGATATACCCAGCTTTCCACCTCTTATTATCCTCACACTAGGAACTCTTAATCACTATTACAAGGTCATTTACATCTCACATGAGACACTGCACTTTAATGGCAAATCTTCGCACAAGTACTCTTCAGAACCATGAAATTCATTTTACAATATTATGAATTGACGAAGAAAACTGAAGACGGTTTTGAAGATTTAGAAATTATTATACAATAATTACCCTGACTTGCTGGGAAAGAGCACTTAGTCCAAAATCTGAAACTTTGAGGTTTCCACAGGTATCCAGGAGCAAATTTTCTGGCTGCACAAGGAACAAATAAAGGAAGAAAGTGAACCATTGCTCCATGCAAAGTGTAAATACAACCATGATCCAAATTACTAGTTAGACATGTGTAAAAGCAACATAAGTACCTTCAGGTCTCTGTGGTAGACACCCCTGCTATGGCAATAATCAACAGCATTAACAAGCTGATGGAAATACCTTCGTGCTTCATCTTCTCGCATCCGTCCATGGTGTGCCTTCATAGTCAACATATATTCTCATATTAATTACCACAAAATAAGTACCAAGTATATCAATATAGCCCAAGTACATGAGTTGGAACATCTAAGTTCTGAAGTGAATCATACGACTTGGTAAAATCATAAGAAGCATTAAGCTGAATGTGATAATATAAACACCAGACATGATCTCCAACTTTTGTTTCGTTTTACATCTTTCTGAAATGGCTTCCGAAATCTTGTGGGAAAAAATAATGCAAAGATGTGCAGATTTCACTGACTTACAATTTTGTCAAAGAGCTCTCCTCCAGTTACAAACTCTAACACAATAAATATCTTGGTCTTGCTCCCCATCACCTGAAGACAGCAAAATAACTAAATGAAATAAATGGCACACTAAGCAAAGGAATTGGAAAATATATATTTTATGATAAAGGTTAACGTCCTATTTTGGTGTTGTTTAAACTGAAAGTACTAGTTTAGTTTCCAGTTGGAGTATATGATGTTCTAAAAAATTCTACAAATTTTCGTTTTTGGTAGGTAAGTTACTTAAAATATGCAACTAATACAGTTACTCTGGTTATAATATGAATCGTGTAAACTAAAAGAACAACTATAATTTCGAGAGGAAAAGACACAGGCCTTTAAATGGTATTTCAATTCAAGATGTATTAGCACGTCATTATCACAGCCTGATAAATTAGTGAATATCATGTCCAATGCAACTACATATACTCTTAAATCAGATAATAGGGCATTCCTGTAGACTTGTTTGAAACTTGAAAGATCATTGCCCTTCTGTGCCTCGTAAAATGAAAGAAGAACTGGTTGTAGAACTCAACTTTATTCAGTTTAACTTCGGTACAGTTTCACACAAGGGCCCTCCAAAGTTTGTGAAACTATATCATTCCTACATATAAGGATGTATATGTATCAAACTAGATCTAGAAAAGTTGTCTATTATGATCAATGTCAAGAAAAATAAAGAAATACTTGTAAATTGATCCTCAGACCACAGAAAGATTGTACGAGTTTTATGGTGTCATGTTGCACTTTGATATTGTCAATTGGTGATGCCCAATTATGAGCTATCTACGGGCATGATTGGCTTGCATGGGTACATTTAGATCTTCAACATGGAATCCACACTTGTTCTAATGAACAAAGAAATTCTGTCAATGATTCTTCAAATGGATTGGGCTTAGCTTATTAAATCTGTCCAGTATGAGCTCCTCCAACATGATGGAGGTCCCTTGGAGATTCTCCCTTGTCCGGTACGAGTACCAGGAATTGCCTTTATTTGTGGCAAGAAGTTTAAGGATGAAGAAAGAGGATAAAAAGGAGACCCTTGGAGATTCTCCCTCACTTCCAGTGAAATGGTACTTAAGTGGGGTAGAAAAAAAAGGCTTTAAGATAAAGAAATGAGCTCCTCCAACATGATGGAGGTCTCTTCTTCTGTGTCATCAAAGGAAGAAGAAAGTTTCATTCTTTTTTCTAATACTGATATGGCAGAGAGGAAATCAAGGACAGCTTGATTCCTCACCCACTGGTGCTGGAAAAAAGAAACTTGCTGAAAATATTGAACAGTGAGATCGTTATAGTGAATTCAGTTGAATCACGAAGGTCATGCCTTTAAGTCTAACAACATTCTTTCCGGTCCTCAAGTACAAGTGCTTCCTAGAAGTTGGAAGGTCAAAAACTAAATATTGAATAAATAAGACAACTGAGAAAAAATAATAGGAAACTTGGCAACTCAATTGGCAGCTGAACAATGCAACTACAAAATTTGAAATTTGGTTTAAGAAATCTAAAGCTAAACGGCCCAAAAGTTAGATTTTGCAGTTAAGATTTCATCTTACCACATTTTCTGAAACTTGCACCATTTTAGGGACAATATTTGTGCAGCCATGATATTTTCAGAAAACAACATTTGCTTTGATAGGCCCATTAGAAACACACTCATCTTGCTCTTTCTATCTCTATGACTCTTCAACTCTTGAAGTTGGTACCTCAACTAAAATTTATTACCTAGGAAAAACAATGGTCTTATTGCTATCAATATCGTTAAAGGAGAAGGGTTACTTGAAGAGAACGGAGTAAACTGAAGGTGGATATATACAGCAAGGAAAGATAAAAACTAAAAGAAAAAAAGACACTTGAGCTTTTGATGAAATGGGATCTTCATAAAATATATATCTAAAACAAAAAAACATTTTAAATGCAATAAAAAATTGTCAACAAGCAGGATGTTTATTGGAAAGGAAAAGGTAAAATTGTAAACTAGCAGGGTAATTGAGAAAGAAAGAGACAGAGAGACCTCATATAAGCGAACAACATTTGGATGTTTTATCAACTTCATTGTTGCTATTTCTCGCTTTATCTGCAAAATAATGCAGGTAACATGTAAGAAACAACTAAATAAGATATAGTTACAACAGAATTTCCTTCAATGAAGTTTAAAATGAAGACCCAAAAAAGAAGCAAACACGCTATTTAAATATTATGCAAAAGTGAGGATCTTATACCATGAGGAGGACAGCACTGATATGATGTTCAAATGAATAGGAAAAGAAATTAGAAAAGAATTCAAATTATGTAGATATTAATCAATTTGCTTCAATTTAAAAATATATATATAAATAAAAAATAAAAAATAAAAGAGAGAGAGAGAGAGAGAGAGTACACATTTTGAGGGAAAAAAGGAAGAGAAATTCAAAAGAGACCTGTTCAGCCATTTTGTGTTTAAGAACCTTCTCCTTGTCAAGGATCTTGAGAGCCACAGGTTCCCCAGTCTCAGAATTCCTTGCGAACTTCACTTTTGCGAATGTTCCCTCACCAATTGTCCTTCCCACCTCATATTTACCTACTCGACGCTTGATTTTAGGTGGATTCATTCTTGATTGACTAGTGGAATCCTCTTTCACTTGTAGTTATGCAAGTTTATTTTAAATTTTACCTGAAAAGCATTTCATAACATGAATTGAGGCCCCTGTAAACATTGTTAAGATTCAAGGGAATAAAAATCTTTAACAGTCCAGGTTTACTTAAAGCTAGCAGTGAGCAAATTATGAATGCACATGGACTAATGGTAAACCTGCCAAACTTGAATCACTTCAGGATTCCTGGATGTCTTAATCATATACAGGTCAAAACAAGATTTCAATCATTGAATGTTTTTGAGATTAAATCTCAAATTTTGGAATTAAAAAGAAGGAAAAAGAATAGGTCATTATAAATGCCAGGTGAATGATCACATGTCTGCCTCAATACATTGTAGTGCTCTAGTACTAGTTTATCTTATCAATTTAAAATGAAATTGATAAGAAAAACTACAATGTCTGTCTCAATACATTGTAGTGTTCTATTACTAATTTTTCTTATAAATTTCATTATAAAATGGATCTTCATGAAAAAAAAAAAAAAAAAAAATTTAAATGTATATAGATAACGGAATCCGTTTTCAGCAAGCAGTGGACCAAATACATTAACAATAATAACTAAAATAACTAAATGGAGGTTTATGGGATATCCCCACCACCACGATAATCATTTAGTGCCAAAAATATTAAGAACCAAGATGACAACCCTCGCCTAGTTATGGGGAGGTGGTAAACAATCGACGAGCACACACATAAAGGATTGCATCAAAGTACCCATATCATAAATGAACAAAAAAAACATTACCCCAAAGATTTTGTACTTCCAAGGAACTAACAGTTATCTAATATACATACACACAAAGCACACATGCATATACATACAATTATTAAGAACAGGGAAGAACAAAACTAAAAATAATAAATAAATAAAGTAAAAAAGAATGAGCAATAGACATTGGGAGAGTATTGTAACAATTACCAAACCTACAAAAGCTAAAAATTCAATAGATCGTTGTATCTAAATTGATATTAACCAAGACAATTCTCTAGCAGTCATATGCATAAAGTGAAGAACCCAATATTTGTTCAAATTTGTTAAAACAAAAAACTCCAGCCTCTAGAGTCCAAAATGATATTTCCAGCAATTAATATTCAAATAAAGGAATAAAGATAAAAAGGGTATATTCCAAAAAGCCCAAAATTCATCAAATTTGCCAAAGCAGAGTCCTTTAGAAACACCCATCAATCAAATCATTCCGAATTCTATCGGAAATTAAAGGGAATTTATTAGAATTACTCCGTATGTACCAACCCAAAAAAAGGATCATCTTAAACCAGCAAAGAATTTAATGAAATTCAAAGTTTTAAGACCTAATCTAAAAAGTAACTCCACAAAAACAGCTGACAAATAACCTAAAAGCACAAAGTCTGAACAGCATCCGAATTCTACTGGAATTATGTACCAATCCAGAAAGGAGAAATCTTAAACCAGCAAAATTGAGACCAATCTAAGAAGGAGCTCCACAAAACAGCTGAAAATTAAACTAAGAGCACAAAATTTTGAACAAAGACATCACATGAGAAGTTGAATTGAAGAGGAGAGAGAGGGTATGTACTTTGAACTCAGCTTTAGGGAGATGATGAGCAAAATCAGCTCTTGGGTATCTCTTGGGTGTCTTTTTGGGTGAAAATGTAGAGAGACAAAGGTGTTTGATTTTATTTGAAGCTTCAATTTCTCAAAACACAGGTTGGTACTGCAGAGAAGGCGGAAGAAGAAGAAGAAGAATACAACGAGTCACGGCCAGCTGAGCAACACCACCTAGAACTAGTAGGATTACTGTCAACCAAAATTCAAAAGAGAATGACAATGGGTTGTAATAAATAATGGTTCAGTGATAGACGTAAATGAATCTGGTCCACGTGTTTTGTGCTTTCTTGTTCCGTGGTGGGGGCTACGGACAGTGCCACCATACACCCAAAATAAATGTCTGCTGCAGACACAGGCGCTGTCCCCCTCTCTCTCTCTCTCTCTCTATCTAGAATCTATATGGATATATATATATATATATATATATATATATATAATTTTATGTATTTAGGACATGGTTAAGCATTGCAAAGTGCTATACAGATGGACTAATGTGGTCCGAAATTTAAAGCCCATAGACCATAGCTGATATGGCAACACACAACATACACTCGTGGGTTTGGAAAACAAAAAACATACACTTGTGGGTGTGTGGACACGATTAAATTTTTTATTATTATTATAATTAAAAATATTCTCACATTGCAATAACATATTTTGAACACTAGTTAGTGACATGATAGTTTTATAATTTTAAAAATAATGACATTCAATGTAATTTAAAATATATTATAGATTAATTAGAAATATAATGTAAAATGTAAGAAAACAAAAATAATAAATATCTAGTTCTAAGTATTAAATTAATAATTGTATTTATAATTATGTAGATAAAAAACGAGCAAAACTTTATATATATATATATATATATATATATATAGTATTATTATTATTTGATGTATTCATATAGTACTTTGTGCCCCTTTTTAAAATAAACTGTTCCATTTTCGGGTTTGCATTTGTGCTTCCTAAATGAATTAGAAAATGGGGGTCTTATGAATTTTGAATTTTTTTTCTTAAAAACTTTTGTGAAATTTAATGAGTTTAGTGGGGGCACAATTATAATTATTAAAAGATTTGTATAATAATATAAATAAATTATATAAAGTTTCGAAAGTATGGATACTTCTCTTATAGTGTTATGGTGGTATCGAACACTCAGATACAGCTTGGAGAGGTGTCGAATATAGATAGAAGTATTTTGAATAATAAATATTTATTTTTCTTGATCAGATATAAATGAGACACGATATGAACACAGTAAATATACGTTTTGAACACTTTCAAAATACAACACAATAATTTTGTAATTACTATTTTAAAAAAATAAAAAATTCAATGCGATCGAAGAGATATCATGAATTAGTTAGAAAATTAACTTACAATGTAAGAAAGCAAAAATAATAAACATTTAACTCTAAATTTCTAACTATTAATTTATTTATAATTATATGAATATAATGACAAAAATTATATTATTTTTATATATAATATATTATTACTAGTATATTTTTATGTATTCATGGCAAATCTGTGCGCATCGGTATGGATTGAATTACAATTTGAATTATTGTGTTTAATGTGATGATTAGTTATAGAACTTTCAAAGGAATATATATATCTATATATACACACACCAAAAACTACGTTCCGTCGTACTCCACCATCACCTTTTTACAATTATTACCCGTGAACTTATCCGACTGCTCATGCATCGTATCAGCACACACGGTTTACACACGCAGTACGGACACGGTTTACACACGCAGTACGTACATGGTAGTACGGTACACTAATACTTTGCTTCCATATTATCCTTTTCATTTTAATTTTAATTTTCTTCAACTTATCCGTAAAATTAAATAAAACCCTCGTAAAATTAAATAAAACCCATTTTTATATAATTAATTACTTCCATTAAAATCCCATCAAAATTCAAAACACGTTTTGAAAATGATTTTATTCCAACAACTATATTCTTTTTTTTTTTTTTTTTTTTGCGGCAATAAATAAAATCACACCGATATGTTCTTAAAATCAATACATTCTGATAGTAACTTATTTGTTTCAGACACAATCAAGCGAGGAAGACGTATATTTGTCCAGTTATGTAAAATATTTTTCTAGAGAGAGAAACGGGGAAAGAAATGGCTGAAATGGGTTTGCTCCGTCACTCGTATTTGAGAGAGAAGAGAGACAAAGAGTGGGCCCGATGATAAGATTTATCTATATATATATATATATATCATACATGAGGGTAAAATAATAGAGGTTACTTTTGTCATCAAAATCTTAGACCGTTAATGTGGACATGTGAGTTTGGGACCATCTCATTGCCACATTAGTATTCGGTCTTCCATTCGGTTTGGGTACACAGTTTTTTTTTTTTAATTATTATTATAATAAAAAATAAATAAACAAATAAGAAGAATAATGACGCAAATACCACCAAATATAAGAAGAAAAACATTACTTTGACACGTCTTCTTTAAATTTTATATACGTGGCAATGTTTTGGATAAAATAAAAAAAAAAAATTGGAAAATTTTTAAACACTTTCGGTGTTTGGATAAGTTGGGTAAAAAAAATATGTTTGGATAAGAAAAACTTTTTTCATTTCCCATCCCATTTTCATTCTTTGCTGTCATAAATCATATATTCTTTTAAATTTATTTTTTTAAAATTATTTTTAATTACTCCATTTCACATTAAGGTTATCAAAATAACATTACGACCTAATAGTATATGCTCTACTTTTCAAAGGAAATTATAATAGTACAAGTTGTCAAAAGAACAAAATATGTAAGTGAGTTCAAGTTCCTAATACGATTATTTTACTAAATAAAAAGTTAATTGAAAGTAATTGCTTTTCAGTTTATTTAATTTATGAAAAAAAAAAAAGAAGATTTACACAGTGAAATTTAAACTTAAATAAACTTTTAAAATGTGTAACTTTTATATTTAAATCATTCGATAAAAATGTCCTGGTCCAGTCATAATAGCGGTAGGATTAAACCTAAGTTTGTTTGGGACTCTCCTCCACAAAACTCGGCTGGTCCAAGGACCCAACCCTAAAAAATCATTCTTGAAGCGTATACATTTTTTCATCTTCCAAACATGGGACAAGCAATTCCCACAAATTCATTTTCACATCTTTAAACTATAATCAAACACCTCACCTACAACTTAATTTTTCATTTATCTGAAAACGATTACAATTTTAAACAAATAAATATACCACATTTATTTATTCTTAAAAAGGAACGTTCGGAGAGAAACACACCCTAATTTGAACAAAGTTACTTGAACGTCACTGCTTACCAAACTAGTGTCCAAACCTTAGTGCAAGGGAAAATGTTAAGAAAGAGAACATGGCAATACAAGCCTTAATTTCTCAAGTGAGATAGCAATACAAGCTTTAATTTCTCAACAGAGATAAGGATGTGATGGAATCGTGAAAGTAATAAAATTAAATTAAAAATAATAAAAGCCGGAGCATAACTGAAGCCTTAAGAATAATACTCATTTAAAAAAATAATTGCGAGATAGGAATGTGATGGAATCGTAAAAGCAATAAAATTAAATTAAAAATAGTAAAAGTAGGAGCATATTTGAAGCTGTAATAATAGTAGCCATTAAAAAAAATTATGCCACTTATATCAAGGGTTCATTGATGTCATTATCGAGAAAACACCCTTGTCAGAAATTGCAACTCAATGTGGAGCCTTTTGAATCCCATAAATTATACCCCACACAAGGAAAGGGGTGGCTTCTATCATGTTCACAGGATATGCCTTTGATCCGATCCCAAACTTCCAACAAAATCTCTCAGATATTTTGTGATCCGTTTTGCTAATATGATTGATTATTCCATTTATCTAGTTCCATTACTATGATTTGTTAAGAGGTTTCATTCTTTAAAACTAAAATTATCAAAATATAATTTATATACATATACATATAATCATATATATATATATGCAATCCGTCTTGCTTAATTCATGTTATTAATGAATTATGTCATCTCATTAATCTCTAAAGAGATAACCTGAGTTATCAAGACATCTGCAAAGAATTAAATATTTATAACTTTTTATATATTTAAATTAACTTAGTAGAATATTTCTTAAAATATATATATATATATTGAATATGGGTTGGACTTTAATTGATGGTCACTTGGTCTATTGTGAATTATTATTAAAATTCACACTTTTTGGAGTTTTGAGTTAGAAATTGGAATGTACTAAATCAATCGTGTTATCTTTTTCACACTTTCGGTTTTTGTTATGTTTTGATCTAATAGTAAACGTCATCATCAATACACACACACAAATGGTGCATTTATGGACCACACTCCAAAAAATTGCAAAAAGTATATTATATCATTTAAGTGATCTTAAATTGTAGAAATTTGATAACTTTTCCTTTATACCTATTCAAATTTTGTTAAATAAAAGTTTTAATCGCAGAGAAAAAATATTTAATCGTTTTGATATTAGAATTAGTTGCATGACTAATCATATCTTGATATTATATTAATAAATCGTGATAAAACGCAAAGAAAATAAAGTTATAAATTGCTTTATTGAAGAAGCCAAATTAAAATGGAGGGAAAATTAGATTTTTTTGTGGCTAAATCTAAACAAATTACCCTAAAATAACTCCAAATTAAAATGAACCAAAAATTAAGATATAAAAGTGGGGCTAAATAGTTCTTGAGAGCAACTTGTTGAAAAAGACTTTTGAAATTACTTGTCTCACCGAAATAAAAGCCTAAATTATAATTTTTAAAAATTCACACACACACATTGATTATATATAACGTTATTTTTACAGAAACTCAAATACTCAACCAGAGCTTATAGCATTAGTCTAGAACCCATTAGTTAGGAAGCCAAATTAAATTGGATCAACCTTTGTGTAGGTTCATAAAAAATAAAGACATTGAAATTCAGGGTAGGACCAACCACCATTAGGTCAAGCTAGCTGTTTGATGATGACTTCTTTCCTTTAAAGGGTGGGTGTCAGGATGGTACCACAAGGACCAAACAACCCAGCATGCCCCCACTATTAATTTGGGATCATGCTTCCTGAGCGACTTATTCAGTCCGGATGAGGAGATGCTCGGTGATTAGTTTAAGAAGGGATGAAAATAATAACGTAATTCTTTTTTTTTGTTTAGTTAGATGATTGAAAAGGATTAATGAACACTT